TTTTTTATTATTTAAATTGTATTAACTTATATAAGAAAATATTTGAATGAGAATAATTCTCCAGTATTATAGGATCTATTCCCTATTCAAGATTTAATTTAGTATAACCCAGCACACAATCCAATCTACGCTAAAAAATTTTGATCACATATTTAATTACTCGTTTTTCCTTAAGAAACCTTAAGAAATAATGAAAGACAAGTAGACAACTGTTCACACAGGTGGGCTGTTTTTGTTGGTCTTATATCTGCTGATGCCTTGTTTTGATAAAAAAAGGAAAAAAATACAATGTTGTGTATACTTCCTCTCTAACTAACTGCACACAATTATAACTGTTTAGGAGTGCTTGTTTTAATTTTTTAAAATATTTATAAATTATCAACTTTAATTAAACAAATTTAAAATTTAAAATTATAAAAAATAATTATTAGCTGCATCTTAACAATTAATTTAAACATTTTTTGTGAACTTCTTGAGAACATAGAGGAGGTATCTCTCAGTGTGATGGTCCGTTGCCTTACAGTCTCTAGTGGACTGAAAAGAAAAACAAACATTTTGTTACACCGAAATTGTTGCCTTAAATAGAGTAAACGTTTGGTCCACTTTCTTTTAGCCGACGAATACGATGAATGTCTAGATTTCGGACTGAGTTGCATCATTGTCTTAAAAAAAAAAAAAGCCACAACAGTAATAATCACGACATGATGATCTGGATTCAGGAGTAGAGACCCATACTGTCCATAGTGTGCTCATACATTAATAGTAATATTCAGGATTGTATACCAAAAAACAGATTATTCCAGATTCGATTAAGACAAAGGCCTTTAATCATATTCTGGCAATCTTACGTTTTCACATAAATTGTATAGAGAAACAGGTGCTTGACAGGTTGAGGTTGTCTGCTTAAAGGATACAGGCACGTGACGGCTAGCTAGATTAGAGTGCACAATGTGATACCACCTAAACTATATATGATTGTATCTTTTATTCGGTGCATATATGCTTGTATTTTTCAAATATACACACACAACACAGCACAAGAAACACCTTATTTACCCACTTACCAAGAGAGTTTTATCTATAATTAGGTATTTTAAGATCAGTTTTTGTGTATTTTGAAATTAATTTTTTACTAGGTAATTTTAAATGTACACCCTCACTAGTTTCTTTTCAAGATGATCTAAAATGCATAACCTTCACATCAAGAAGAATAAATATACTTAATTGGGTGTTGATACTAATATGACTTGAACTTGAACTCAATACATATGACAACATTTATTTACTAATGGATTCAGCCTTAAAATTAATACTACCACTAAACAACATAAATCTTGGCCAACAATCAATGTGAAGGAATCCAATTTATTTGCATCCTGAGACTGAAGGGGTTGTATGCCTAATCTGGATCCTGCACCCAAGTGTTATATGGCGGCTAAAAGATATGGGCTTTTCTGTTTGGGCTACCAATGACTTTTCTATTTCCATTTAAAGGGGCGTAGTTTATTGGGCCTGTTCATTTGGGCTGCTTGTCTTTCCCTCGTCTTCTCTAATTTTTTAACCCGTATTCAGCATAAATGTCTCACTGAATTGTTTGTGACAGACAAATGATAATGAAGATGTATAACTTTAATTTAAATTGAACTTAAAATTTATTGAGTATTTTTAAATTTTTTCCTTATTTTTGGATGTATTTCACGAAATTTTAAATTGAATTGCTTCAAGTCATATAACCTTTTACTTCTTTTTCCTTCATTTGTGCTTCCTGATTTGATTTGATGAAGCTTTTTGATAAAGAACCAAACTATGTAATCACAACAAGACCTTCAAAGGACCTGTTATTTCCTTACTTTCAATAGATGGTACAGTTAAAAACAGGGGCCTCTCACATGCACTCTTTAGTTGAATTTCTTTCTTCATGAATCTGAAGGGGTCTAATTGAAGTAATTCACTGGGGTCATGCTTGAGTTCCTTTATAATGCAGAAAACTTTTGCTTTTTTTTCTTGAAGTGATGGTTTATCAAACCTTGTATGCACTGAAAGTGTAAAGGCTGTAACTTTTCTGCAGTCCAAGTCTTTGACTTTTTTAATATTAGCTAAATGGACAATTTGTTTGCTTGATGTTTATTGAGTTGAGCAACTGAATCAAAGAGCAAGGTGTTCTTGACAATTTACATTCCATATTACCAAAATGCAGTTGCATAATATTTCAATAACTCTCTGTTTCATTGGCTTAACTTTGATTGCTCAATTTGTTTTTAATGCTGCAGGCAGGTCATATAATGGTGAAATCGATGGATCTATCAGTTCACCTCCTTATCCAGCTCTAGCAGTGCTGCCAAGCTCCAGTTTCATGCCACTTGCCACCAAGGCCCGGCCCATATAGGCCTTTGTTATGGAATGCTTGGAAGCAACTTACCAGGTGCAACACAAGTTGTTGCTCTCTACAAGCAGAATAACATCCAAAGAATGAGACTCTATTTTCCGGATTTATATGCTCTCCAAGCTCTTAGAGGCTCCAACATTGAGGTCATGCTTGGTGTTCCCAACTATGAACTTCAACAGATTGCTGCCAGTCAAGCGAATGCAGATGCATGGATTCAGAAAAACGTCAAGAACTATGGTGACATAAAGTTTCGCTATACTGCTATAGGGAACTTGGTCTTAGTATGGCCTTTTGATTCATATGCGCATCCCTGCAATGCAGAAGATTCAAAATTCAGTTTCAGCGGCTGGACTTGACATCAAAGTTGTTGGGAATTTTGAGCACTGCAATCCACGCAAACGGAAGCGATAAAGATATTGAGACAACAATATAACGTGGTTCAACTTGTATACCTCTCAACAAGTCTACATTCACGGAAAAGAGAGAAATAAATCCATTATTAAGAAAAAGAGTACAATAATTTAGAGGCTCTTTCACTCAAGAAGCTCTCAACACCCTAACTTCAATGTATAGAAACTCTCAAATTCTCCCTAATACTCTCTCTTAATCTACACAAGGATTTTCTTACAATTTTTCTCTTTCTTTTCTCACACAAGAGCTTTCACTCAATTTCTCTTGCTTTGCCCCACTTTTGCTTGCCCATTGCCTTTGCATGCATCGGTATTTATAATAAAAAATCCAACCACCCATGCAACATTTTTCTTTGCCCATTAAATGGGTTAACATGCGATCTTGCATGATTTCATCAAAGCAATCCTAGCTCACAACTAGCTAGGTTGGTGAAGAAATTTCACCACATGGAAAGTCCATGTGTCCACATGCATGGGGTTGGACTTTCTACCAACAAAAGTATTCACAACAATCAACACAAGCATCATTGGATCATATTTCCCTCCATCGAATGGCTGTTTCAGATGAGAATAAAAACCAATGCTTGATCTTGTCATTTGCTTCTTATTGAACAGTTCAGCCCCATTCCTTGTTAATTTGTATCCATATTTCAGTTACATTAACAACTCCAATGACATGAGTCTTGATTTTGCTCTCTTCACATCTCCATTGCATGTGTTTTTAGATCCTCATTTACAGTATAACAATCTTTTTATGCTGCACTTGAAAGGTTTGGTGGGGTTTCTTTGGATATTGTGATATCCGAGAGTGGTTGTCCCTCAATTGGTGGAATGGCAGCAACCATTGAGTACTCTATGACATCTTCAATCTGATACAACATGTGAAGAGGGGGACACCAAAGAAGTTTGGAAGACCTATTGAAACTTACATTTCGATGAGAATAACAAAGAGCCAGAACTTGATAAACACTGGGGGCTTTTCCTTCCAAACAAACAGCCTAAACACTAGCCCCTTGCGTCACCAATATTTAAAACAAGCTCTGAGGTTGCAGACCCAACTATCTTTGCACTTGCTCTAGATGCAGCTTTTGATCCCTTAACTCCTGAAGCAAGAAAGAATAGGACACCATTATTGGTAGGTATAACCATTGTAGCATTGGCTGTATTTTCTACCTTTGGTTTTAGTCTGTTCATTTTTTGGAGAGAGAGGGCAAAAGGCAAACTAGATGTTCTTGCTTTTTAATGTCTTTCGATGATGAATTTGGAAACGACATGGAACCGAGGTAGTTCTCATATGATGAATTAGCTAAAACAACAAAGAGTTTTGCGGATGAAGAGAAGCTTCGCGATTGAGGGTTTGGAGCAGTTTATAAAGGCTATTTGAGGGATTAAAATGTTGCAGTTAAAATAATCTCAAGAAGATCTAAACGAAGGATCAAGGAGTACATTTTGTAAGTGAAGATCATTAGCCGATTGAGGCACAAGAATTTAGTGAAGCTTATAGGTTGGTGCCATGAAAAGAAACTTTTACTTGCTTATGAGTTCATGCCTAATGGTAGCCTGGATTCTCATCTCTTTAAAGGCAGAAGCCTATTACCATGGAAGCTTAGATACAAAATTGTGTAGGGTTTGGCATTTGCTTTGTTGTATCTGCATGAAGAAGGAGATTTTTGTGTGCTACATTGAAAAATTAAAACAAGCAACATTATGTTAGATTTAGCTCTCAATGCTAAGCTTGGGGATTTTGGATTGGTAAGGTTAGTTTATCAAGAAAAAGTATCACAAACAACTATAGTGGCTAGGACCATGGGCTACATGGCTCTTGAATGTCACACCACAAGTAAGGCAAGTAGGAGTCAAATGTCTATAGTTTTGGAGTTGTGGCACTTGAAATTGCATGCAATAGAAGGTCCATAAAGCCTGCATATGAGGAGGATCAGGTGTTATTGGTAGCTTGGGTTTGGGAAGAATATGGGAAACAAATGCTCCTTGACATGGCTGACAAAAAACTTTGTAATGATTTTAACATGAATGAGATGGAGTGTTTGATGCTTGTTGGACTTTGGTGCACCCATCTTGTCCGTAGTCTGAGACCTTCAATCAAGCAAGCAACGCGGGCGCTTAATTTTGAGGCACCACTGCCTTGTCTTCCAGGTAAGATGCCTATTTTAAAGTATGATATTCCTATAAATACTTCTGTAGTTAGAACAAGTGAGTGTTGTCTATCAAATTTGAGCATGACTAGTCCTCGTTAAAGAAGGTTTGCAATAATCGCTTCCATGTAAAACATTGTGTTTATTATTTCCTTCTCTTAAAATTTGTGGCTCACATATAAATGCTAAAATTTTTATCTTTTGAAAAGCATTTGCTATGATTCCTCCGGTCAAAATAAGGATTGGTGTTGGTTATCTTCCAACGAAGGGAAGCACGGGTATTGCTTGGGTTGTTAAGAAAGGGCAAAAGAAAACTGAAATTATCATTTTTGTTTAAAAGGGATAAGATTATTCCTAGTTGGTTGGTTTCTTTGCTTACTACAAGGGTGGATTCAAAGAAGAGTCTTTTTGTTTACGAGTTTTATAATCATAGCTGGTAATTGTTGGGTTAGGCCTATCTCTCCTATGTTGAGAAATTACTAAATACTTGTTGGATTAAGTCACACTTAAAGCCATATTATGTGGGCCTTTTAAGACAAAGAAGTTTAATTTGGATAGCAGAAAGTGGAGAGCACGTCAATGGAGTCAACTGGCATAAAGGCAAAGAAAGCACAAGAGAATTCCATAGATTTGGTACTATGCATAGTTTTGCAACTTTCTTTTATCCACACAAGTCACCATTAGATTGAGTTGAAATTTTGTTTGAGTGTTTATGAGCTATTGATCTACATTTTAAACAGTCGGCTTTTCACTTCTTCATTTCAAGTTTTGTACATTCTAATTTTGTGCCTAGAACAATAGCTCATTTTTAGTGATTGTCTCTTTTTGTGATCCTATTTTCTTTGTTATTGTATACTCTCTTTGATTATAGTGGAGTTATTTTTTAATAGATCGGATGTCTCATGTTTTTTACCCATTTTTGTGGTTTTCCACATAAAAATATTGTGTCTTTTAGGGGTGTTCGCGGGGTGGTTTGGTTCGGATTTTAACATTTTTTAATCCAATCCAATTTAATCGGTTAGTAAAATTTTTAAACCAATCCAATCCACTATTATATGATAACCAAACCAATTCAATTTAAATCGGATCGGTGTGGTTCGGTCGGATTGATCG